TGTGAAACACCACTGGTCTGTATGTTTAACAAAGGCCTGAGGGTACAAAGTTTACATAGATTGAGCTATCTTTTTCAAATAAGAGAAAATATAGGATTTTAAGGAAATGCCAAATATACTCAATGGAATAAATGTCTGAGGATGGGACCCCATGACTTTCTAAACCTGTGCTTTCCCCTCCAGGGTCTGCCAAAATGATGGATTTCATAGCCAAAACAATTACAGTTGTGAGATTAAGGCCAATAAGTAGCTATGGAAAGAGTAAGAAATCAAATGAAAATGAACATTTTAATTGAGTTTCAGTCATAAAGTTTCATAAATATCCAGTAGATAGTAGATGATATAAAGTATTTGCCTAGTTCTAGAATTATTTTTTTCCTTAAAAGAACAAAGCTGAGCACTGGGTGTTCACACCTGTAATTCTAGCTGTTGCTGTTCACACAGCAAGATCCGGGAACACAGTGTCTGGTAGGCAGAAAGGGACCATACCATGTGGGTATAGACAAAGTTTATTGAAACATCACATGCTTATATATTGCACACAGGCTGGAGAAGTCAATCTTCAGCCAGGAGGCAGAGAGTTAATCTTAAACAGTTTTACAGGAGAACAGATAATGATAGTTTAACTCTAAGTCAGTAAGCAGGTATAGCTAATCCTTGTCAACAAATGTGGAGCAGTTACAGTAATCAAAGGTTGTAAAACTAGATAAAGCACAGATGAGTACACAAAGGGAGTCTCAAGACATTGGTCTATGGTGTTAACTAGGAGGAGCACGAATGGCACTTCCTGCAAACCATCATCTGAGTCTAGCACAAGGTACAGGACCCTTACCCTGACTTGGAGTAAGGGGCATCCTCCATCCTCCCCCAGAGGGAATGCATTCCAGCATGCACCCTCATGTACACAGGAACTCAGAAGGAGTCATGTGAGTTGATGCCTCAGTCACTAGCTACTCAGGAGGCTGTGATCTGAGGATTGCAGTTTGAAGACAGCCTGAACAGAAAAATCCATGAAACTCTTATCTCCAAAAAAAAACTTAGAAAAAAACGGAAGTGATGCTGTGGCTTACGTGGTAGAACAATAACTTTAAGCACAAAGAGGCTCAGGGACAAGTCCCAGGTGCTGAGTTCAAACCCCAGGACTGGCAAAAAAAAATGAAATGAAATGAAATGAAATTAAAATACTGACTGACAGTTTTTCCCAGTGTGTGATTGCCTTTAAAAAGAGCTTATATTTTGGTTTATTCTACTAGGCCTTTTACATTTCACTGTGAGGTTCTTGTAGTATTTTCCCCAAATGGTAAGGCATTTGTTTCATAAATATAAAATAGCATAGTTATTTTATTCAAATATGTTGTTCATTTCTCAAGACTTAAACTTGAACCCAGGCTAGTGGTTAAGCAGTGGCGGAACTGCCAGGTTTTCTGTGAGTCCATGCTGTAATTTAGGTTTTATATTTTATCATCCTGCTTTAATCACTGCTTTTGTTTGTAAATTTGTGACTGGATAATATAAAAACTAGGAAAAATAACAAGTGTGGAAAATTTAATTAACAGCTGTTTGTTCAGAGGATAAGATGAAAGTATATATTTTTTTAATGTATGGTAAGCAGAACAAGTATGTGAAAACTAAGTTATTTTATAAGCACATATATTTCATTTCAAGTAATATAGAAAATATGGATTTAGAAACAAGAAAACTCTCTCTCTCTCTCTCTCTTTCTTTCTTTTTGTCAGTGCTAGGGATTAGAACCAGGTCACATGCATCTAGGTAAGTATTACTTCAGCCATTCCCCAGTCCAGTCCATTTTGCTTTTAATTTATTTTTCAGGAAGGGTATATTTTCAGGAAGGGTATGGAATTGTACCAGCCTCAGCCCACCATGCTCCACCTCTATTGTATCTGGCTTTTTAAAACATAGGATCTCACTAACTTTTGCTCTGGATGGCCTGCAACTACCACCTTGTTCATCTCTGTCTCCTGGGATTACAAGTGCAAGCCATTATGCTGGGCCTTGAGATCATATTTTTTATTTAATTTAATTTTATTGTAAAGATGATGTATAGAGGGGTTACAATTACAGAAGTAAGGTAATGAGTACATTTCTTATCAAATATTGTTACCCCTTCCTCATTTTTCTCACACTTTCCCTCTTCCTGACCTCTTCCTCCCTCAAAGTTGTAAAGTTCATTTCCAACATAGTGTCTTGAGAATATTGCTGCTGCATTGGTTCAAACTTTGTCCTTTGTCTCACCACTTTGTTAGTCCTCTTCCCTTCCCCAAATTAGATAAACATATATACAAGACACTGGTTATGAAAATGAAAAATAAATGACAACAGAGGATAAAACAAAGGTTGGGGGGCAAATGAAATAAAAATAAATAACTCCATACAGTACATTAAAAACAACAATAACAACAAAAATATCTTGTTTCCATATTTGGACTTTTTTTCAATTAGCATCATTTTATATGGCCTTATATACATAGTTACTGAGCTATTGTGATCCTCTGGTAGGACTGTCCTAGACAGACTGTCCTAGAAACCATGGAACCTATGTTTCTTTGAGTCTGATTTACTTCACTTAATATGATTTTTTTCCAACTTTTCCATTTCCTTATGAGTGGGGCTATGTAATTCTTTTTGATGGAAGCAAAAATTCCATTGTGCATATATACCACAGTTTCTTCAACAATTCATATACTGAAGGGCATCTGGGTTGGTTCCATATCTTAGCTATGGTAAATAATGCTGCGATGAACACAGTTGTGTTGGTAGCATTACTGTGGCCTTGTTTGTGTTCATTTGGGTAAATGCCTAGGAATTGGATTGCTGAATCATAGGGTCATTCCATGTTTAGTCTTTTGAAGAGCATCCATAATGCTTTCTAGAGTGGTTCAGCCAGTTTACATTCCCACCAATAGTGTAGTAGCATTCCCTTTTGCCCACAGCGCCAACAGCATCTACTATTATTTGTTTTCTCGATAATGGCCTTTCTAACTGGGGAAGGTTAGAATCTCAATGTGGTTTTGACGAGTTCTTATTAGGTGTTTAAGTTTTGAGCTCTAATATATTTTTGATATGAGGCCCTTGTCTATTGTATAGCTAGTGAAGAACTCCCATTCTGTGGGCTTTCCATTTATCTTGCTAGCTATGATCTTTGCCATGAAAAAGCTCTCTAGTTTAAAAAAATCCCATGTATCCATTCTTTCTTTGATTTGTTGTATTTTTGAATCTTTATTTAGAAAGTTTCAACCCATGCCAAGTAGTGCTAGTGTATCCCCTATCCCTTCCTGTAATATTTCCAAGATATCTGCTCTTACCTCCAAGTATTTGAGTCATTTGGAGTTGATTCTGGTGTAGTGTAACATATATGGATGTAACTTCAGTTTTCTACATGTGCATAGCCAATTCTGCCAACAACATTTTTTGAAGAGGCTGTCTTTCTTCCATCTTATAATTTTGGCTTCCTTATCAAACATTAGGTGACAATAGGTTTTTGGGATCATGACTGGGTCTTCCATCCTATACCATTGGTCCTCAGGCCTGTTAATGTGTAAAAACGAAGCTGATTTTTAACTATAGCTTTGTAATAGAGTTTGAAGTTTTCTATTGATATACTTATGGCACCGTTTTGCCTGCTAAGGATTGTTTTTGCTATTCGGGGTATTTTATTATTAATCATTATTAATTATTGGATTGTTTCTTCTATGTCATTAAAGAATGTTGTTGGGATATCGATGAGTATTGCTTAGAATTTGTAGTACCTTTGGGCAGTATTGCAATTTCACGATGTTATTCTTCCCAATCTAGGAACATAGGAGATAGTTCGATTTTCTTAAATTTGCTTTTATTTCCTAAGTTTTTTTTTTTTTGTCGATTGTGGGACTTGAACTGTGGGCCTGGACACTGTCCCTGAGCGATTCAGCTCAAGGCTAGCTCTCTACCACTTGAGCCACAGAGACACTTCCTTTTTTTAAGTTTTTAATTTTTTCTCCATAGACTTTTCATCATAGACATCCTTCACCGCTTTGGTTAACTTAATTCCTAGGTATTTTATTTTGTTTGAGGCTATTTACAAAAGGTGTTGTTTTTCTGATTTCAGCCACCCTCTTCTTATTGTTGACATAAAGACACACTACTGATTTTTGTGCATTAATTTTATACCCTGCTACTTTGCCAAAGTTTTGGATCAGCTCAAGTAATTTGGGAGAGGAGTCGATTGGTTCTTTGAATACAGGATCATGTAATCTGCAAAGAAGGAGAGTTTTACTTCTTTCCCAATTTGGATCCCTTTTATGTTTGTTCTTGTCTTATTACTCTGTCTAGGAATTCAATACTATATTGAAGTTTGGTGAAGAAGAAATGGTTTTAACTTTTCAACATGAAATATAATGCTAGCTGTAGGTTTGTCATATATAGCCTTTATTATATTGAGGAATATTCCTTGGATTCTTTAGTTTCTCCAGAGCTTTCATCATAAAGGAGTGTTATCTCCTGTCAAATGTTTACCCATCTATTAAGATGATTATGTGCTTTTTATCCTTGCTCCTAATGATGTGTTGAATTATGTTAACTGACATGTATATTGGACCAGCTTTTCATCCCAGGAATGGATCCTGTGTGATCATAGTGTATGAATTTTTTGATTAGTTGTTGCAGTTGGTTGACCAAAATTTTATTGAGAAGCTTTGCATCAATGTTCATTAAAGAAACAGATGTATGTTTCTCTTTCTTTGATGGGTCCTTATCTGGTTTTGGGATGAGGGTTATGCTGGCCTCATAGAACCAGTTTGGTAGTGATCTTTTGCAAGCCATTGTGCATGACCTTTAGATCATATTTTTTAAACATAATATACCTTAAGAAAATGATAAAATGAGCTCCTCCATATGTTAAGTGATTATTTTGACACAATTTTAATGTGTTATATAGTTTTCTAAAAGTAAATTATCAAAATGCAAATATATTGCTGTACTGAATTTTATAATATTTTGTACAGGACTTTGGAGATGATGGATCTTTGTATATTACAAAAGTTACTACTACTCACATGGGCAATTACACCTGCTATGCAGATGGGTATGAACACATCTACCAGACTCACATCTTCCAAGTGAATGGTAAGACTTGTGGTAATATAATCAGTTTTGCTTCATTTCATAAACAGAATATATCACAACTAATGGGTAAGGGGAGACTTTAGTAGGTTTTTTTTATTGTTTCAACTTTAGCAAGTCTCTCATTTTTTCAGTTTTGGATTTACTATTAATGTAACAGCTTTTAAATTTAAAAAGCACTCAGGTGAATGCACATTTAACTTAATTATTTTATTGTAAAACATTACAGAATATCTCATTTTTCATTAAAAAAACTAAAAACTAGAACATTTAGCTCTTTTGGTTTAGTATGTAAAAAATTAGCCAAAGACACATTTTAGAAGCTCAAAAATTTTACAGCTGAAAATTTTAGTCAGGTAATGTTTTTGGAAATTCTCATTCATATGTAGCAAATTTTATTCCAATTATGGTGATGTCAGATCCTGGTAATGGTGACATCGGAGACTAGTGATACTGACAGAGTCACCAATATCATTCCTGTGATCAGAGCTTCATTTGGTCACATTTTATTAACTTGAATTGATGTGACATTGTATATATGATTTACTAATCATTACTGATGTGTTCCCATAGTTAATCTTGTTTTTCTACTCATCTTTTAAAAAAAGCAAAAATCTATATGAGAGCAGCAGGATGGTCAGTGTGACTGGCAGGCACGAGCTCGTTCTGAGTTATTAGAGATAGTCAGGAATCACATCCTTTGGAGCTTTCTGTACCTGGTTAGATATCTTCATTTCTATTGTCATTGTAATGGGAAGCTGTAAAAATATTAAATAAATGGCTATTTGAGGTGATAGGTGGGGTAAGAAGAGATGGCGAAGAATTAAAAAAGAGTGACCGTGATTGTGATTCATTGTACTCATAAATTGATATGTTGAATTAAACTAATTAAATATACAACTAATTAAATATAATAATAAAAATAATAAAAAATAAAAAATGATGTAATCTGCTAACCAAACAAAAAATTGTTCCTAAAGGTGAATCTCCATTTTAATAAAATTAGGAGACAGATAATTTTGAGTTGAGGATGTTTGGTGTAGTTGCAAGAGGAAATTTTCTACATTGCTGAATGCTTTTCAGTAAAATACAGAGTTGCTGTTAGTGCATGGTCTGAGTAGACAAAATGAAGAAATAAGTATCTTTCAGAGCTAGGACACTTGGTAGACAAAACTTTGGATCCTTGTATTTTCTGTTCTTCTGTTGCACTTGACTTTGAACAGTCAACAGAAAATATGTTTGATGTTTGATTTTTGTATGATAAAACAGCACATAGGAAAGAGATAGGAGTAAGTCAAGCAGGTTTACAAGAAAATCATTACAGTGATGGTCCACATGCTAAATAACTAAGGACACATTCATGATTGTGATAAGAAGAGAAAAAATGTCTAAGGTTTACATGTTGGCCAAATATTACTATTATGAGGTGCTCAAAGAAAGTATTCAATAATTTTGATAAATGTGTTTTCTCGAACATCTGTCAATTTGTGTTTGAATAAGAAATACTTTCAAGTTGTAATCCTAGCTACTTAAGAGGGGAAGTCCTAAAGACTGTTGTTAGAAGCTAGCTCTACCAGAAAGTCTATGAAACTCCATTTCCAATTAACCAACCATAAGCTGGTCTGGAAGTGTAGCATCAGTGGAAGAGCACATGCCTAGTAAGCAAGCAAATGTGAGGTCCTAAGATCAACCTAAGGTACCATTTCTTTTTCTTTTTTTCTTTTGTGCCAATACGGGAACCTGAACTCAGGGCCTCATTTATTCATTTGCCTTTTTAAATTCAAAGATGAAACTCTCCCACTTAATCCACTTTTCCACTTCTGGCTTTTGGCTAGTTAATTGTAAATAATATTTTTTTTACCAATTTTTCTACCAAGGCTGAATATAAATCTTGGCCTCAAATCTCTGCTTCATGAGTAGCTAGGGCCAAAGGTATGAGCCACCAGTGCCTAACTCTACTCTCATATTTTAACTGGTCAATGAATACCTCACCAAAACTTCTTATGTATTTATGCAGTCCAGCTGTACTTTTAAATTCAATTTTCCAATTCTGGTCTTAGCGTAAAGGAGAAATAAGGTATACAACAACCCTGATTCATCAAGTTCAACTACCATAGATCAAATACTTGTTCTACTGCTCTGTACTTAGAAACAGAAGACAATAAGAATGGTTTCTCCCACAGAGACACAAACTAATGGGATCTGAAAGAAGACAAGGTTTGATTTCCTTACACAAAAAAGTCCTGATAATGTGGCCCAGGCTGGATAAATAAATGTCATCTGTGCCATAAAATTCTCCTGGTCCTCTTCTCACTGGCATGGGAATTCTGCATAAATTTTTCAGTAAGGAAAAGGGAAGAGGTAGTAAGAGAAAAGGTCACTGAACATAGGAGGAAGCATTTTTAAAAGATTCTTAGTCAAAACATCAATAATCATTGTGGTTAACCCTCCCTAAACAGAAAATGGTTGAAAAATGTGTCTGTGGTCTGTGTACATTGCCAAACACAACCCTAAAATATTCAATCAATAAAAAAAAGACAGAAATGAGTATTGTGTGGGCAAAAGGCCATTGTTGCTACATTTTGCAAAACAGTAATATATCACTAACTCCTTATAATAAAATTACTACCAATGGTAGAATTATTTAGAAAATGGCAACCTTGATTAGTTTTCTATAATGTTTTTATTTTTTAGTATTACCTTCCTCTTTTTTAAAAAAATTGACATCATAGCTTTATGTTTGAATATGTACAATAAATAAGATTTTGCTACTGTTTCAAGTCAATAAGCAAAGAACAGCTGAGATTGAAGAAAGACTTGGAAAATGAAATAAATATGTGACAGAATGCAACCTATATAACACCTCTATAGACCCCCCAAAATCTCTAAAACTATTGTAACTCTTTCCTCTATTCTCTTTCCAAACAAAGCTAAAGAAACCCTAAGGCTTGGTTCCAGTGGCTTACACATGTAATCCTAGCTATATAGGAGACTGCTGAGATCTGAGGACCATGGTTAGAAACCAGACTGGGCAAGAATGTCTGTGAGATCCTTATCTCCAATTAGTCAGAAATAAAGACAGAAATGGAACTGTGGCTTGAGAACAAAAGCTCAGGGACAGCACCCAGACCCTCAGTGCAAGTCCCAGGACCAACCAGAGAGAGAGAGAGAGAGAGACAGACAGACAAACAGACCCAATCAAACTAAATCTTCATGTAAAAGATTATCTTGACATTTGGTCTATTGATCTATTACTACTTGAAATGAAAGAAGTCATTCATTGTTATAAGAAACTCTGAAAATATTTCGAATGGAATTTGTGAGCATTTTTGAAATGCAAATTTTATTTAAACACATAGAGTACAAACCACGTCAAAGTCTATCAGTATCCATGGTTTTTTTCTAGCAATGCAAAATTAGATTCCAGAAACAAGAGAGTGCCTCTTCATCCTTATTTGAAGAAACATTATGTATATATCAAAAGCGCTTGATTCTATCAGTGGAATTCATTTCATCTTCTTCTTACATAAAGTAAATTGTCTTTAGATATTAAGCTTATGATATAGAATGTTAGAAAAATGTTAAAGTCATTCAGTGCAGATGCTACTTTATAGCCAGAAAGCTTATCCATATTCACAGTAGACCCATATGAATGCTGTATTGCTCTCATTCAAAGACACTTAATTGTCCTGGGAAATTCGGGTAGATTCCTCTTTCTATTCCTGTCAAACTTCTTATGGAAATAGCTTCTTTTGTTGGATGTCAATACGCCCATTTTTCCCTTTTATAAAAGGAGATGTAATTCTTCAAACACAATGTACGCTTCAAAGAGTAGATTTCTGTTAGAAATGCATCACTTTTATCATCTTTATTAGAAATGGTTTAGAGGAGGTGTCTGAGTGAGGAGAGCAAAGGGATTTTTTTCTGTTTTGCAGCATAGACTTGGAACATCCCCACCCTCATCCATCCCAGGCAGCAAGAGACCCTCTGTGCTGGCACAGCCTTATTTGTAAACTTTGTGCATGGTCCAGCTGAGAAGGAAAATGAAACCTTTCACTTGACAGTGAGATCTAGGACAAAAGAAATTAGACACCTTCTTCCTCCTATACTTTTCTCCTGCCTCTGTGAGTCAGTAAAAGACAGGAGAGACACTTGGATGGAGACCCTAGGTTAGTATTTTCAGAAGTTCCAAACAAAGGAACCATTGTAACTCAAGTGTAAATTCTCAGAGTTTCCCACACCATCAACTGGATTAGAGACTACAAGCATTGATTAGAGCAGTGTGTTTGTGTTTGTGGGTTGTGTGTGTGTGTGTGTCTGTGTGTGTGTGTGTGTGGGAGAGAGAGAGAGAGAGAGAGAGAGAGAGAGTTTTAAACTCAGAGATTCACATTTGCTAGCCAGGTTCTCTACTGCATGAAGCAATGACTGTAACCCATCATATTTAGGTTAAAATTGTAATAACATCTTTCTTTTTGCCTAAAAATGACTGGGGATGTGATCTTATTTAACCTTCCTACTATCACTAAAAGGCATATGCAAACATGCTAACAACCTTTTCTGTTAAGGTAGTGGGGCAAACTTTTGGCTGGCTTGGGCTGGAACTGAGATCCTTTGGATCTCTGCCTCTTGAGTAGCTATGATTATAGGTAAGAGCCCACATATGCAGCTGTTGATTCAGATAGGAGTTTGTGAATATTTTCTCCAGGCTAGCCTGTAACTAACTGAATCTTACCTTTTTCTGTAGCTATGATGAGATGAGATGGGAGCCACTAGTGCCTGTCACAACTATTGTTTTAACAATTCTTCCTGAAAATTCTGATAATAAAGTACAAGAACTACCATTGGGGCAAATTACTTATATGAAAATAACAAGTTCAAATGCATTTGTTTGATATTCTCCAGATTTTTTATTTATTTTTGGCTTATGGTGTTGTAGGGGAATGGCTGTTCCTTAGTGAAGCATATTGTATTGCCATGTAGAGTGCCACTTTTCCATCTTAAGA